GAATGCTATTCATCACCATTGTCGACTTGGCCGCCTTCTGTAGCACCTCGTCTGTCCAAAGGTGTAGCGTCAACAAGGCATGCTCGAAGGAGAGAGACAGTAGTACTTTATAATTCCTTGGAACACGGATGGATTGAGGTTGCCCAAACACAAGGTCTACAAGGCCTAATGAGTCGTGGATGAGATCCTTGATCTCCCTCGTGACTTGGGTGTGCTTGGTGTTGTTTATCTTGTTCCACACATCAGTAGCTCCAAACACGCCTGCCATCTTCTTTGCCATTCTGATGGTTCTATTCCACCACCTGTGGCCTTCAGCTGACATGCTCCTGCTGGAGCTAAACAAGTTGTACTGCCCCATTGAGTTTGACCACCATGGCTTGGTCTCTAGTTGGATCTTCATGAAGATTGGCCATGCCACTCGGTTGAGCAGCACACGACTATACCATCCAGCTCGAGCTTCCAAGAATGGCCACTCCCACGGCGACATCATCACGATGAAGATCGAGCAAGCTTCGAGGAAAAATGTTCCAACAAATAATGCATAGGTGATGGCAGCATCAATTCCACTTCTTCTGTAGTCGTCCTTGTATGCAACCGCCGTTTGCTCAGCATCGACACTACCACTCATCATCATCTTGACGTAAAGCACAAAGGCAACCACTGTGGAGGCGAGGGAGACACACCGAAGGATGGCGCCGGCCGTTGTTTGAATCACCCGGGATTTCGTGAAGAGGCTGTCGTACATTATACTAAGCTCAATCTCTGCTATCTTGAACTTGTCTTGTACATACTCCATATCATACCTATGTAAATCTCGAAATTTACTACGACTTTGCAGGTCCATGTCATAGAGATCCTGTCCAGCGAATATACCCCGCACGGCTCCCTTCGTGTGAAGAGCAGCATACTTGATAATTGCTTGATATGTCTGCACATATTGTTCACTGCCCTCTACTTCCAGGGATGCCTTCTTTGCTTCTCCGCTAGTGGAGGTCCTCAGGCCTTTCTGGCTCCCCAACTTGAGTGCCCAAATCCTCTCTCCGTCCCGGCAACAAATAGAAATGCAGCCGGGATAACAAGTGGTAGTGTGCCAATGCCACCGACTTCCACAACACATACATGACCAGGCATGCTTGGCCTAGCAGGTTCAGCAGGTGCCTCAACCACAACTCATTGTCCTCCAATGAAAAGGCTGTCACGGTGTCCTGCCCTCCAAGGTGGATAAGAAGGAAAGGTGCCCGAAAGACAACTGGCGTGAAAGGTAGCCCAGCGCATATGCCGCGATGAAATCAGCTGACAGGTAAGACAGCCATATTGAGGTCGTAAGCAGCATATGGCAGTGGCGGCGCCGAAGGCCGCCCGAGAAGAAGAGGAATAGTTGCAGGGCAAAGCTCAAGAGAATCAATGCATGGATTTCCAAACTGCTGAATACTTGCATAACAGTAGTGTGCATTGAAGCTTGTGCCATGGACACAAGTACTCTAGCTTGATCGGACCAATGCTGGTTAGCTAGCTCTCTCGATCTAGATTTGCAACTGCACGCACATCAGCGGTATCTGCAAATTAGGTGCAATCAGCTAGCTAGCTTAGGTAGCCTATTTATAACCAAGAAAATAACGTACGCTGGATAGCAGAGAATTAATTCATGACGACTAAAGTACTTTTGTCAAATTATTACACCAGGTATCGTTTTTTTCGAAAAATTCTTGCAATCCGTTTAGGAGCTGTTTGGACATACAAATGTGCAGTTGAGAATGGATTAAATGCAGCAACTGGATTGGGATCACATATTTCCACTGACTATCTACCCCTAAATCCAAGGTGGCACCTTAATTTAAGGGCCTCTTTGATTCGCAGGATTTGTAAAACGCAGGAATAGGAAAAACAGAGGAATAGAGTGGCATGTCATCTTCGATCCTACAGGATTAGTATGAGTGTTTGATTGTGCACCGGAAAAACATTGGATTCTTCACGTGAGGTTGGAGTGGATGGAAATTTTCCTATGAAAACTAGTTGCAGCTCTCGGCGAGACCAGTTGCAGCTCCCGGCCAGGTCGGTTGCAGCTGTTCCCGTCCACCAGGTGCAGATCCACGGCATGCTTCCCCCTCCGCCAAGCGCCAACCCATGGTCCATCACACGGGGGCGTCGGGGAGTAGGAAGGGGAGGGCCGACGAGCAGAGGTGAAGAGAGGAGCAGGGATGCCTCGCCGGTGGGGGCCTCACCGGAGAAACCGCGGCACTGGTCGGAGGTAGGCTCATGGAGAGAGACAAGTGGGGAATGGATATGTGCGAGAGATGCTGAGGAGAAAGGCGAGCAAGGGATGAAAGCATAAGACACAGATGGTTGAGATATAAGAGAAACTTCAATGGAGCGACCCATTTCGTCCGCCCGCGTCAGTTTGGCTCGACGCGGACAAAAGTGTCGGCCCAACGTGCCGACCCAAACGGACGCGCGTCCGTTTTTCGTCCGCGGGCGACCCATTCCAGGCCCATTTTTGAGCCGGATTTGCGTCGGCGCGGACACGAGACGGACGCGCGCGCTCGCCCTCTTTCCTCACCGGGCCCGCTGGTCGGTGGCACATTGGATTCACACCCTCGCCCGCCTGCTACGTCGCCGACGCCGCCGGCCATTTTTTCAGATAAAAAGGGATACATAGATAATTCTAGCGTACACAGATAAAAAGAAAAGACCACTACTCGTCGATTTCTGAATCCGACTCGGTAATGTCCTCATCCGATGTCTGAATGTAGGCGTCAGCATACGCCTCGTCTTCAAAGTCCCAACCCACCATTTCTCGTAGCTTCAATTTCAGTTGAGCTGTCTGCTTCCGCGAACGCTTGTCCTCCCGATAGGCGGCTCGCTCCCTCCTCCTCGCGTCCCTCCCCGATCTAAATTGCTTGTAGAACTGGCGCTCGTCGACGATGTCCTGCGGGTAGCCTCCACGTCACAGCACCAAGGCTTCCACGTCCTTCTCTGCAATGGCGAGGCGACGCTGCCGCCTCCGGTGGACACGATGATCCTCGTCGGTGAAAAGCCGCGGGAGAGGCGCCAGATCCTGCGCCCGCTGACTCGACACGTTGGGAAAATTCATATCCCGACGAGGCCTCAGGAGGCGCCACGCCGCCGCGTCGTGCGCGCGGGCCGCCTCCTCTGCGGTGTCGAAGGTGCCGACGGCGAGACGTTTCTCGCGAAACCAGATCTCGGCGGAGAAGGCGCCGGAGCGTTGCTCGCGGACTCCGCGAAAATCCGAAGCGCGTAGGCGGCGGATCGACATGGTGGTGCAGAGGCGGCGAGAGTGGGCGGCCGACAGAGTGTGGAGAGAGCGCTGGCCGCGGCGCGCGCGCGAACCTTTTCCGCGCGCTGGAACGCCAAAACCAGCGCGCGCGAACCTTTCCCGCGTGCTGGAGCGTCAAAATCAGGGCGACGATACGATGTTAAACGCGCGCGGTCATGAAAATGGATCGGCCCGTTGGGTGCACTGCCGACCCAAAACTAAAAGAGGGCGGACGGCGGGCGGGCGGCCGACCCAAACGGACAAAAAGCGGACAAAAACGCCGTCCGTTTGGGTCGGCCCGTTGAAGTTGCTCTAAAAGGACGGGTGTGTGCGGGCCCTGTGACTGCGTGGCACGGACGTGGTAGCTCGCGACCGGCCGAGCGTTTGGCCGGTGCGCCGCAGCCAAACGTTTACCTTTTGGTCTTAACATGTCTATAACTATGTGTCTTGATCACCGTGATCAAAATTATACTAGTACCTTACACCGGAGGGAGTATTACTGTTCACGCGGGTCCAAAACGGAGTGCTCACTGGAGTGAGTCTGCGGCCGCACGTGTGTGGGAAGGGAACTCGCCAGGAGCAGAAGAGAAGAGGAGCGCCAGCCGAGCCGCCGCCCCGCCGCTGACTTGCTTCTCTTCCGCCGCCGCCGCCGCCCGCCAGATCTGATCTGGTCTGCTACCCCTTCCCCGGACCCCGGCCGCGGTGAGTTCTCCCCCCTCCCACCTCCGTCTTGGTTTCCTCCGGCTGCCCCCCGCGCGCGCCGTTCTGGAGCTCCCCCCGTCAGTCAACGCCCTCCTTCCTAGTCGTAGGCGTTCGATGCAGATTTGCTAGCTGCCAGTAGAAGCAGACCACTTGCCTCTGGAGTCTGTACTCGACCCGCCCCTGGTAGAGGAGACATGTTTCGGCTCTTCAGATTTCAGTGACCCTGAATCTAGCTAGCTGCTGCACTCTGTTCAAATTTGACTGGATTTGTTCTCTCTTGTCTTGGGCCCTTTTTCCCTTGTTCATTCAAATTTGACATGTACTGTAGCACCACAGAGTCTATGACTCCTCCTCCTCGGTTTGTCTTCAGGCCCACCCCTGAAACTGGTGTCTTGATTCTACTACTGCTAGGAGATGTCTTGAGTGTTCAAATTTGACACTGTGAATCTAGCTGCACTGTGCCTGGTAGCGCGATTGTTTTCGCTGAATTCAATTGCATGCTGCAGCACATAATTACCCCAAAAGTCTTCCGCCCCGCTTTATATATAAAGCAACACGGCCGAGCTGCAGCACATAATTGACAGACACAGGTCATGGGTTTGCACAAGTTTGACATTGGTTATATATATATACCATGGCCCTTGCTGAATTTTCTTTTCTTGTGTTGATGATGAAAAGGATTGGTCTTTACGCCCCGCCCTTGAAATTGGTACCCTCATTGTACTACTGCCCCTGAAATTGATATCTTGATTTTACTACTGCCTACTGCTAGGAGATGTCTGGCCTGTTCAAATTTGATACTGAATCTATCTGAACGGTGCCTGGTAGTGCAATTGTTTTCACTGAATTCAATTGTAGGAACAATGCTGTCTGTAAATAATTGACACACAGGCCAAAGGCCATGGGTTTGCACAAGTTTGACATTGGTTATATATATACCATGGCCCTTGCTGAATTATCTTTTCTTGTTTTGATTGATGATGAACATTCAGGTGGTTGGTTTAATTAGCAGCGGTGGAAGAAGATGGGCGACCATAACCTGATGGAGAAGGTGACGGCGCTGAGCGAGCAGCTGAAGATCACCGGGACGGAGGTCGGCAAGAAGATGACGGCCGGCATGAGCTCCATGAGCTTCAAGATGAGGGAGCTCTTCCTGGGGCAGACTCCGGCCGACAAGGTCGTCGAGGACGCCACCTCCGAGAGCCTGGAGGGGCCCGACTGGGCCATGAACCTGGAGATCTGCGACCTCATCAACGCCGGGAAGGTGAACAGCGTGGATCTGGTCCGCGGGGTCAAGAAGCGGCTCGTGCTCAAGGATGCGAGGGTTCAGTTCCTCACCCTGTCCCTTCTCGAGACCGTCACCAAGAACTGCGAGAAGGTGTTCTCCGAGGTCGCCGCCGAGAGGGTTCTTGATGAGATGGTCAGGCTGGTGGATGATCCACTGACCGTGGTGAATAACAGGAACAAGGCACTTATGCTGATTGAGGCTTGGGGAGAGTCCGGCGAGGAGCTCCGCTACCTGCCGGTCTATGAGGAGACATACAAGGTACCTGAAGAATTGTTGTATCACATTCTAGTTGCCTGATTCTGTCTCATAGCAGTGAGAGTCTATATTTTCATTTCTTGGTCGAGAGTCTATATTTTCATTTCTTGGTCAACGAAAAGTTGGCCCAAATAGCGTGATGTGCTTTGCAATGTAAGTACAGAAAACAATAATTTAGGACCAAAAGGTTGAAGTAACTGAAGATACCTGCATGAATGGGTAGCCAGCATGTGATTTTTGGTAGAATATCGACAGGTTATGGTTGAGACGTAGGGTGAAAAGTAGATCAATATATGTAAGAGTCTTAGCTCAAGATGATGAACAGAACAGATACAAATTACCCAGTTAGAAGAAATACTGTAGATTTGTAGAATGGGGATTACATAGTACATCTCTGAAATCTGGCTGCTAGTCAAATAAAAATGTTCAGTACTTTCCTTCAGAACTCAACATAATGCTAGAAATACACACAATTTGAGCAGTTTTATGGGTATGTTGACCTACTAAATTAACCTTTATATTCACATATAGATGAAGCAGTAGTTGAGGGAATGCATGGTTAATTTGATGCATTATATTCACATATAGATGAAGCAGTAGTTGTCACCTGAAAAATAGATGTCGTGACTATTTCAGAAAAAAGACGCAAACCATATAGAGAATAACTAAATTATATTCTACCAAAACATCAACATGTTATGGAAGTAATTTAAGTCCATAACTACTGTTATAAAGGAAGGGGCCGTTTGACATTTGGAGTCAGTTTTGGCAAAGAAACATTACTGAATGTATAGGTGACTAGGTGTGTAACCTAGGGGGTACTGAAGTAGTCATTTCTGAAACTGGCATGCTGTAGTCAGCAGGAACAAATAGGAGGCACTAAATTCAGAAAAAACTGAACTTAATCTTAAATATTGATGGGAGTAATAATGTGGAAGCAACAGTTAAGTAGAAGCACATGCCATCAATTGGTTGGTGCTTTTCAAAGATCGAAGATAGAGGGAAGCACCCGGTTTTATCTCGAGTTATCATGAGATGAAACAACTTCAGAATGAAATTGTTGTTTGAATTACAGAAGATAGAACCGGGTGCATCACAGTGAATATTTAAAATTGCACATTTAGCTCCAGTAACATACTATTTGTTTAGCTTCCGTCATTCTCCACCATAAAAAAAGAAGCTTTCGTCAGTCTGAAGGAAGAGTGATGATCTTGGCACCATGAATCATTGTACTATTATCATTTGGTCATTCCCTATACTATACCACCCCCTTAATACCTGTAAGTAAGAAAATACAGTAGTATGCAATAAGCTTAGTGCTTTATTAGTTTACGCTTCTCACTTTTGTGCTTTAATATGTTTCATACTTTTGTGTTTAGAAGTGAAGAGTGATAATTTGTGGTGGTCATATTTTTTATGCCGTCAGCGCTTAAATTCATGGCTTCATGGTTGAAGAAATTGTAGTGAACAAATTTTGGCAGCAGCATTGACATCTACTCAAGAAATTTTTGAGTCAAATAATTTGTTGTTTCAGTGGCCAGTTTGATGTAAATCCATATGATTTATCTTGCAGTGAAAAATATATCATGCTTTAGTAACCAAGGCAGTGCCTATAAATGACAAACTAGCTAATATATTTTCTGTAGAGCCTGAAATCAAGAGGAGTGCGGTTTCCTGGACGCGACAATGGGAGCTTGACCCCCATATTTACTCCACCACGCTCAGTTGCTGAAGCTGAAGCTGGTGCAAACTTTACCCAACAGACCTTTGAAGATGTGCATATGCATATATATACTGCCGAAGAAACAAAGGAAGCTTTTGATGTTGCGCGTAACAGCATAGAGCTTCTTTCAACTGTTCTTTCTTCTTCCCCTCAGCAGGATGCTTTGCAGGTAACTGGACTTTGTGTAGCAACCTCCAAGTTCGCATAAATACCTTTTGACTGATGTACACTAATTCACTTCACACAATAGCTGGACTAGTTCTCTGTGGATTTTTTTCCGGTTAACATTTTTTTAAATACCTGTTATTATTATTATTATTATTATTATTATTATTATTATTATGCCAGTGCCCTGGTTATTTTATTCTATTGCATGAGCGTAGCACTCTGTTTATGAGATACTATGAAGTTCCCCTCTATTCCTGAACATGTGTTATTCTAGCATTCAAATTTTGTTTCTAAATCAATATCATTTACAATTCCATGACAACTTTACTCCAATTCTCTGAGCTATCACAAGTCCTAGTTTCACATACATTACATAAACTTGTTTTGCCAGTCATTTAGCTATAAGTCAGAAATGAGAAGGCACTAAATGCTTAATTGAGCATAATATGATAGTTCCCTGTTACCGATTGCATTCACTGCAAGGTATATATTTTTTTTGAAAGCAAGGTGTGCGTTTAAAAATATCAGTGCAACATAGACTACTTACTTCAGTAATCAGACTATCATTTACATGTTATTTTACTGGTTTGAGGTAGATTTTTGTTGGTCATACATTGACATTGGCTAAGAGCTAGTATTATGTTTTGACTAGTTCTGTTACTTGCACAGGATGACTTGACGAACACCCTTGTGCAACAATGCTACCAATCCCAACACACCATCCAGAGATTCGTCGAGACGGCCGGGGACAACGAGGCCATGCTCTTCGAGGCCCTGATCGTGAACGACGAGATCCAGAAGGTGCTATCCAGATACGAAGAGATGAAGAAACCCGTGGCACCAGCGCACGCGGAGCAAGAGCCGTTGGCCATACCGATCGCCGCAGAAGCGGAACACGAGGATGCCACCGCCGTCGGCAGCGAAGAGGCCCTGGTCAGAAAACCGGCCGGTGCTCGAGCAAAGCCGGATGGAGACGACGGTATGCTCGATGACCTCGACGAGATGATATTCGGCAAGAAGGGAGGGGACAGCAGCTCCTCCCAGGAGGATGCGGATGGGGCCCAAAAGCAGGACACGAAGAAAGATGACCTGATTAACCTCTGAACACCAGTTCCTGGGATGAGAAGTCACTGCGAGTTTTAAGACTGCCGCAGAATGGCGCCTGACTGTATTTCATCTGGTAGAGGATTGGACATTCATTAGGGTTCAGGTCGTTCGTCTACTTATATGCACCCGATCGATCATCGGTAGCTCAGTAGTTGTGCTCCGTGGTTTGTCGTGTTGATCAGTCACTTATCATCTTCTGGTTTCGTGGATGCATCTCAATCAATCTATGTACTATGTACCACGAATACATGCATCTTTTTAGACAGTTGTGAAGAACACTCACCCTTGTCAAATTCTGCATCAATATAGTCTTACACCAAATGTTTTTTCCACAGTTATCGGAAAACAGTTATTTCTGCCACTTCTCCAGTTACACTTGCACATATTATGTTTGGCTAGAATATATCACATGGATAGGTTTTATCTCAAGGCCTCACATCATAAGCCTGAGGTATAGATATGCCATAACTAAGCCAATTTCTCGCTCATGGCGAGTTTGAGTTAGCGCTCGCCCACAGCAGCCAGTTCGTGGGCCACGACTATCAAGCGGTTTTCCTTCCATTTTTAGCGTGTGCGCTTGGTTCGAGTTCAGTAGGTTGGGTTCCGTTTTGTCAGAGACTCGCGACCGGCCTGGTATGCTGCTTTTCAAAACCATTTTTTAATTTTCGATTTATTTACTTATGTTCGTTTCTTTTCCGTATTTCCTTTTTACTCTTTATGTTCTCATCCTTTTTCCTTTATTTTAGCTCCCATTTTGTGTTCTCGTGCAAAAATGTTCATGGCGTTTTTCAAAATTGTCCGTCGTGTATTTAAAAAATGTTCAGCATGTGTTTCAAAAATACATTTTTATATAATTTTAAAATGTGTTCATATATCAAATAAAAATATACATGTATCTTTTATCTAAATGATTATGTAATTAAAAAATTCATGTATATTACTCTAAAAATGTTAACGTATTTAAAAAATGTCCTTTAATTTAAAAATGGTCATGTGGTACTTAGAAGATATTCATCCTATATTAAAAATTGTTCATCACTGTTTAGTTTTTTTGCTATGTATTACAAACTGGTTCATCATATATTTAGAAAATGTTAAGCATAAAACAAAAAAATTGTTTACTGGGCATTACAAAGATGATGATAGTGTATTTAAAATATTTATTTATTTAATTTCAAATTTATTTCCCCCTATTTATTTTCTTTTCTAGTTTTTGCCTTTTTCTTGTGTTTTTCACTCTTTCCTATGTTTTTTTGGAGTTCTCGCTTTTCCTGGCAGACATTCTTTTTGAAAACACGACAAACATTTTAAGAAAGGTGATTAACATTTTCGAAATGCACCATGAACATTTTTTAAGAAGTTGAAGTATTTCTCGATTCAGAATGATTTTTATTCAAATTTACTAAGAAAACTCTTCAATACATAATTACCATTTTCAGCACAATGTATATTTTTAAAATATGCAATGAATATTTTAAAATACATGATAAAACTATTTTTTAACATGTTGAATATCGTATAATACATGCTAAACATTCATAATATGCACAATGAAGATTTTTTAAAATTTCATGAATATTTTTTTATAAATATGTGGGAAGCTAGAAAAAAATGAAAAAAAATCAAAAAATAAAATAAACTGACACATTTTTTGTATATAATTCTTTAAAAAAAGTACTCATCTATCTCTAATATTAATTCATGTATTTTAGACTCAAAGAATGGATAAAAAGAAATGAAAAAATTAAAAGAAAGTAAAACAGAAAAAAAATGAGAAGTGAATGCCTATCGGCCTGGCCCATGTGCCGCTGCTTTCTAGGCGAGCAACATGAGTTATAGATGCACCCATCATCACCTATGACCTTGTGTTTTCTCATAACCATAAGTAATTTTGTAGTAGGCACAAAAGCCCACCCGATCGCCATAACCGGCGCATTAATAATTCTACTAAAATCCCTCCACTTGCTCTTCTTTCCCTTTCTATTTCCACCCGCACCGAGCCGCTCGTCCTTCCATCTTGAGACATGCCGCCCCTCTCAACCCACTTGCAAGTTTCCATGCTCTCAACACACATTTTATCGCTTCCATCACTTTCCGCATCGACTCTCTGCTAGTTTCATGTGCTGTTGCTTGTCGACGCAGGCTCTCCTCGGTCCACTATCTCCATCCCGTGGAGGTGCTGATACCTAGTCATGGCTTCAACCCAGCAGATGATGTGGATTTATGCTAGGAATTTAGTGATCTGGTCACTATAGAAAAGTAGACAATGAGACGTGGTTTGATTATAGAATTCCACGAGTGCTGCATTTCTTGGAACCCTTACTTGCTTCTCCCCATGTACTAGTCAATACAATACATCCGGTGACAAAGACGGCTGAGGCTAGCTTTGAAAACATCCCTGGCCAACCACCACACCAGATCTAGACACCCCTCCCTTGACCCCGTGTATTTGACTACCAACTTCGTATAGTCTATTTCCGCTACCACACTATATTAAGCCTCTGTTACAGGTGTTCAACATCAATATCAAACCTTCCGATAATACTAAGCCCAACTTTGCTCTATACTCACATTATACACCAAGTAAAATTAATGCAGTTTTGTATGTTTTGGTCACAAAAAGGGGTCCTCATGTGGTCATATGTGCACAGACTAATTCTGATAGAGATTGTTTCACATATGTACTCCATCATTTTTGATTGGAATATATGGATCAATGCTAAATAGGAATACAAGAAAACAAGTACAACTTAAACAAGTCATACTAATGTGAAAAATTGAAAACAAACACATGCATATATGCATCGTGGATATGATATGGATGATTTTTTTACTAGATCTGAAATGGATGACAAGGAGCTGTACAACACTAGTGCACACATACCCCTGAGGTGCTAATAGTTTATGTGTTTGTATTGATCGATTAGTCCATAATAGTCCATCTACAATTGAAAGAAAACATCAACAAAGGAATGCAAAAAAACTCGCATGAGTAACCCGCATCTATCTAGCTATGGCATCATGCTTTATTACTCTTTTACATTTTCACATGTCTAGGGTTAATGTACAAATCAAAATAATCTCTGCGAGTGCGCATAGGCATTGTTTAGCCATGCATGTGATGTTCATTGAAACATGTGTTGGTTGCCAAAGGTTTGGGAGACGTTGTTGATGCCTGAGTAGACCTGCATCTGGGTGAGTATGTGCTCAAAGTTGTCATTAGACTTCTCAATTGGGTGCGTGTGGGTGCCTTCATATGTCGTTACCACCACACCTTCGTCCCGCGATAGCCGCTGCACCTGCTTCTTCACGTTGCATCCTTGGTGCGTGCATCGGTAGTAGCTCCTGCATGTAACAAACAAGTTAGTACTTATTTAAAGGCTATTGTGCTACAGGGATCATAAGAACAACAACAAAGCCTTTTAGCAATAAGGTGGTTGTGGTGGTGGTGGTGGGGGGGGGGGGTAGACTAGACTTAGAGTAGGGAGCACAAGAATGGTGTTCTATGGAAAGCTCTTGTGTACATCATTGACGTAGGAATCCAACCAATTTCTTATACGTATCTATGTAGGATCGAGGCATTTTCATGGGTGCTTGTTGTATTTTATCTTACCAGTTTGTCCTACAATTGTATATATTTGCAATCTCTGTTCCACACTTGTATTCCTCTCAAACTCTTGTTCTCTTTTTCTTCCAATGTTACCCATTTTTAAAATCCAAGGAGACTCACGGAAGTTATCCAAGCATTATCAATTGGTATATGTTCTTAGATATATGACTAGTAAATGATTTGAACTAGTAATAACAAAATGATTTCATCATTTGTTGCTTTAGTCTCTTGCAATTCAATTGGCATTAATATACTTTCTATGTTAGGATGGTTCATAATTGTTCATGAGATTGGCGTGATGTGCCATCACTATTTTTTAAGATCTGATTGTTCTAGAAAAAGCCTATATCACAATGGTAAATCATTGTTCTTAAGGATTGAAGTCTAATAAATATTTGGTATCTGTCATTTTATCTCATTTTTGGCCTGCCATAAATATTTGCTACTTTAAGTATTATATTATTTTTGCAAGTGTATAAAATTAATTAAGACATGCATCAACATACACATAAGTCGGCTATTTCTTGCGCCGATGTTAGAGGAGACTATCTATCTATCTATCTATCTATCTATCTATCTATCTATCTATCTATCTATCTATTATGTTATAATTAAAGCAATAAACAAATAAGTCACCATGTTCATCCAAATAGGCTAAATTAGTCCTTCCATCATATGTGGTAATGGCTTTGATTTAAAGTCAATTAATAATGGAACATACATATCCATATCTTATATAAAGGTTGTTATATCAAAACAATCACAAATCAGCACATTGTGTATGACAACGGTAGAACATGGATAGTGTCACCTCTAACATCTGCAAGAATTTGAATTGACAATGACTTAGGCATTAATTGGACAATGGCTTACATACGAATCCTATGACCTTTTCTACCATACTACAATTTATTTTAGCAAGTATACAGGTTAATCATTGATAGATATTTATTGTGCTATTCTCCCAGTTCATGCAAAGCAATAGGTAAAGATATAGGACTATTAGTATTAGGGTTACAAATATCTAAATTTAAGAATGAACTTCTTGATAGAAGAGTAGTATATATAAAACAGTAGGTAAAGATATAGAACTCTTTTCACATACATAGTTTGATCAGAAATAAAACATAGCCAAATTTGATATTCGTACTCCATTATTATGGTGACATATAGCTTAACACATTTAATTGTTTACACGGAGTGATTGGGTATATATGTACAATTAATCTAAAACTGAAAATGGAGAACCCATTTTTTAAAAACTATTTGATTTCTTTTTGGTATCATATAGTTTGCAATGATAGAGGACCAACACGAAATACAACATGTCTTAGATATCTCAATAAGCACGGATTAGTTTGGTCAGAAATAAAATATAGCCAATTGA